TATATGATACTTGCTAAAAGTTATAAATACAAGTAGAATTCTCCCTTTTGCCCTTTAGTTGTTTAGACCTCAACTCCCCCTCCCCTCTTGTACTTGACTCTAAATATTTATAATTAATAAATATATTGTTATTAAATAAACCTAAACAAACTACCTCTTGTAAAGTGAAACTTGTCTTTACAATTAGTTAAAGAAACTTCTCTCTTGGATACTGTTTCTTAAAATAATTAGATAGCTATATCGCTGTTACTTATAGTGTACTAAGAAGGCTATGCTATCTGTAATACTAGAATTACTAAGAATATTGCTTATGCTCATATATTTTAGTTACACTTCTTTTACTCTTAATCTTGTAGTAAGTCTTACTTCATTTTGTTTGTTTAAGTACATAGTTAGTTCTGTAATATGATATATAAGCTAATTCTGCTAAATTGTTCATAGACCTATAATCTTCATATAGTTATATATATTATTTAGAGCAGATTTTGCTAATTCTATCTTATTCTTAATTAATGTTCAAATAGGTTTTTGTATTCACTTATATGAAACTTTGAATAGGAAAGATATCTGAAGCCTATACTCAATACTAAGTATAAGTACACTATTATTTAAATATACTAACTGACTCATGAATACTTTTTTTTATATAATTGCTTTATATATCTCTGTAATTTCTTTTGTGATAATTGCTTTATTATATTCTTTTCATCTTTTTCTGATATCTAGACTTTAAGGTACTTTATAACTTCTTTTTCTCATTTTGCTTGCACTAGCTTTTTAGATTTTCCTATTATTATTTCAAAACTTGTATTGTTTCCTTTGTTCTTTAGATTTAATATGAGAAGTTCTGATTTTTTACTATTTATTTTAATATCATTTAGCTCATAAAACTCTGCAGAGATATTTACTATTCTTTGCATTTTCTTTTTTAATCTTGCTAATTAAATTGTATTATCTGCATATACCAATACATTCTGTTGTCAACTTGATATTTGTGCTTTGTTAGTCTTTAAATCACAAAGCTATTTAAGCTCTATTTTATATTTTAAGGTTATTTTTTTGCTAATTAGATATAACAATAGGTTATAAAATATTTGCTATATAAAAAGTAAGACAACTTTTTCTTGATCTAATCCATTTCTTGCTTCTAACTCTTTGGTTAAACTGTACTCTGTAATAACTTTGATCTTTCTCTTGTTATACAAATTAAAAAAAAACTTAGTTGTCAGATCAAATATTTTGATTCTTTTCAGTACTTTTTCTATCATCATTAGGCTTACTGAATTGAAAACTTTTTTTATATTTTGAAAAAGAATCTATAACTCTTTATTTTTTTGCTTTGTGTCTTCTAGCAAATTGTTGTTAAAACCTAATATTATATATTAGTATTTTGATTATATATTTACATATATACTATACAGTAGACATCAAAAATAATATCTAATTTGCAAATTAACTTATATAAACAAATAAATAAACTGTGTTTGCTTCATTTTATTATTTTTTGAAAGCAATTTTTTTTTATTTATACTTCTTTGACTTTAAAAAAACTAACTAAATAAAAAAAAATTTTTTTTTTTTATAAAATATACTACATAGCCAAATAATTGAAAAAGATAAAAGAATAATCCTTGCTTATATCAATAATATGAGTGCTAAACAAGTTGTCTATAAAATTAGCTATAATCTAACAACAATACAAAATTTTTAAATAAGTACAAGAAGACTGAAAAAATTGAAAATTTACTACAACTTAGATGTCTCTCAGCTCTCAATAAGAAAGAAAAGATTACCTTATTAAAAAAAGCTATAAAGGAAAAACATGAGCTATTATGTAATATTGTCAATAAGTTAGGCCTTTAATACAGTATGTTAACTGTAGCTAAAACTTTTTATAGCTTTAAAATTCAGTTTCAAGTTGCTGTAAAGAAGCTATTTTTGTTTGCTAATAATATAAACAGATACAAAGAATAGTATGATATATAAAAAAAAAATATTTATAAATAACAACAAGTTAGTTTTTTGATAAAATAAGTATGAAAATTAGCAAACAATTCTATCAAGTTAGAGTGTGATATCATATAGATGAAAAATATAAAAATGAATATTTGTTGTCAAATTTTAAGAGTGAAAAAGTTTTAATAATGATATAAAGATATTTTGTTAGAAAGGTTAAAAGTCTTTTGATTTTTTTGATAATTATTTAAAACCTAAACAAAGAATTAATAAAATAATCTATACTAAAGTTTTGAAGAACCATCTTCTGCTATTTATTGTTTCTGCACATTTATTAATAGATTCAAATATCATATTTCAACAAGACAATTGTTCTATTTATAAGGTTACAGATTGGCTTGAAGCTAATAACATCAAATATATCAAGTGGCTGTCGAGATCACCAGATCTAAACCCTATAAAAAACATCTAGAAGGTCCTAAAAGACAATATACAAAGTCGTGAAGACTTCTCAAGAGATAAGGATCAGCTTAAATCAGCCTTAAAAAAAACGTAGACAAATCTTAATACGTTGATTCTTTGGGCGGTTGTAGAATCAATACCTTGAAGAATCAACGCAGTAGCAAATGTATCTGATCATTCTACCAAATATTAGTTAAATAATAAAAAAAAAAATCATTTATATAAAGTAAAATAAAATAAATCAATAATTTTTATTTTGTTAAAAAATCGGGCATTACTTTTGCCACCCACTGTATATACATATATATCGTGATCAGATAACGTGACCTTCAAATTAGTTACACGGACCAATTTGACCAATTTGACCGTGGTCAAATAGGTCAAATTGGTCCGTGTAACTGTATTGTTTGACCAATCCGACCAGTATTACAATACTTTGACCAGACTGGTCATTGGTCAAATTGGTCTGGTCAAATGGTCAAACTGGTCTGGTCAAGCCAACACTGAGTTATTACAGCTGTTTTCATAAAATTTCACCGGTTATTAAAGCTGCTTTCATAAATTCCGGGACACCTTAAAAAATAGCACTTTTCTGAAATTTCTCCAGAATCACCTAACTTTCATTTCTGTCGCTGGATCGAAGTTCTAAGAACGGTGACATAGTTTCCAAAAATTTGGGAAATTCTTGAGGTATGATCGAGGAGGTCCGGGAAAGGGCAATTTTTCAAGTTATGAAAACAGCAGTGCAGTAAAAGATTTTTTTAAAAGTTTTCAAACTTTTAATTTTAGATAACCTTATCAAAATCAATTTTTTTACGAATAATTTTTCCGTGTCTCTGACTTAAAACACATGACCAGAAAATTTTTTTAGGAGTCAATTTAACCCTAGTTAAAATAGATGACTTAAATCTGCATGTTGTAGATTTCGAACACTTTTAGACGCGCGCGACACAAGATCAGCTCAACTCCACAGCATTTGGGGGTCACTCAATAATTAGAAAAATTGAAGCGTTTCTCAGAGATAACGATAAACCTTAACATTCTACACAATTGTCGCACTTTAACTATTGTAAATATTAAATATAATGTAAGATAACCTAAAATAACCTAAAGTCACTAAGACGAAAATGATAATCAACAATATAAATATTGTTTTTTTTTTTTTTACACATAATATATCCATATATTATCTTATTTTCGAAATATATCCATAAATTATCTTATTTTCGAAAAAAAAAATTTTTGACAAGAATGTGGAGTACATATATACATTTTGACATACTGTACAATCTTACCTTTCTTTAAGAAAAACATTCAATACACAATTAAATATAGTTTTATAGAAGTTTTTCTATGTCAATATTGTTTGGAAAAGAAACCTGTAATAATTTTGGATAAAGTTATTTACAATGACGCACTTTAAACAGTCATTGTGCATTATTATTGATATTAAATTGATATTAAATTGATATTAAATAGAAGTTATTGAAAAATTTATATAAAGACTTTTATGTACGTACGTACTTCGTTCTTTAAGACATAAAAAAATTTTTTCGTCTTTTTTTTTTTTAAAAAAAAGACATTTTGTGTTTTGTGAAGAATCAATTCAATTCAATTTAAATTCAAATTCAAATTCAATTCAATTCAATTCACGAAAAAACAAAATCCAAAATTTCCTTGAATCATTATTGAATCTATTGAATAAACTATTTTATGATTTATGATAAAAACACCCCGAATTGATTAAAAACAAAACACCTATTTCTTAATGTAAGTAATTGATTTCTCCGTTAACCATTTATATAGAAGAAACGATTCGATAACAAATAGCAGTTTTTAAATACGTACGAAAACAAATAATACCCCACACTTCCCATTCGTAATCATATGTTATTTGTAATGATCTATGACGTTTTCGTACAGGAGACTTTCAATCGCAAAGTTTTGTGCCAGTAAACGCAATTTTTACACGGACTGACATGTGAATTCATCTTTCTTTCTTTTTTATCAGGCAATAACGACAAAATCAACAAAAAGACCTAAGATATTTATATATTTAAAGCCTATCTTATCCTTATACCGATTAAATCTCATTTATTTTCCTTTTATATATTACGGTAAGACCCTGTAATTTATACCATTATATACATTTCCTCGTGCTTGCGAGAAAAAAAGAAAGCGAAAAAATAATAAAGAGGCAGGAGGAACTAAAAAGTAAGAGGGCGTATGACTATACCTCACTTTCTTTGCCTTTTTCATTCCTCTTACTTTTTTTATGCTCAAAGTACTGCGTTGTATTACTATGGTATTATATTAAAACCTCTTTCTTATTCGCTTTATCTTTTTTTTTTTTTTTTTCTAATATTTCCTTATTATTTTTGCTTAAATTTTCGTTTTGCTTTATTATATATCTTTCTATTCCTTATTGAAAAAAATAAAGCTTAATAATTATTAACTAACGCCGTATGTATCTATATTTTTCTTCCGATTTTTTTTTTTTATATTGGGGATGGGTAGATATTACGAACACTGCCACAATATATAAATCTATATTATTCAAAGAATCTTTACATCTCTCTTAAATGTTTGTTTACAACTTTATCTCGACCTTAGTATTTGGTACAATTGAACCAAAACAATCTAAACAACAAAATACTACTCAAATACCACAAACTTTAGCTAAAGAAAACTATACCAATCCTAATTACTACAGTAATCACCAACACATTAATCCACATTTCAATTTTTACCAACAACAGAATTCTAATCGACAACAAAACTATCAACATAAGCATAACTCGAGTAAAAGCTCCTTCAAAAAAACAAATTACTCAAATTCAACAAAAATGCCTCCCGCCGCATACTCAACTTTTCATGCACATCCTACAACTACCTCTGCATACGTTGCTGCTACAATGAGTATGCCTAACAACAACTCTTCAAATAAAACTCCTAATATTAAAAGGGTAGTCGATAGTGAATATAGATATAAAATAGTGGATGAAATTTGTGCTGAAACAAATTTATATACTATACTTGGTGTTGAACGTGATTGTAACTCTGATGAACTTAGAAGAGCTTATATCAGTGTAAGTATTTTCATTCATTTTCCCTGAATAAAGTTAATTTAATATAATTTTTTATATAATTTTTTATATAATTTGCGATTTATTTTAGAGGTCCCGGATTTGTCATCCTGATAAATTTCCTGAATATCCAAAAGCAACTGAAGCATTTCAGAGTATGTTTTTTTGTCAAAATCTATTAATTTTTATTTGTTGATTTCATTTTCTGATTTTACTTTTTATTTTCAGAATTGGCTTATGCTTATGAAACGTTGAATAAACCATCAACGCGTCGCGCTTATGATATATCTGGAACTAGTGATTTAGGTTGTGTCAACGGTACTGGTGATGAAACGTTACATGGTGTTTTATATCAGGTATATTTTATTATTAATCTTATGTTAATTCTTTACTTTGTAATTTGTTAACTTGATACTAAATTTTTTATTACCTTTTTTTTTTTTTGTTTAATTTAGCTATTTTTGGAATTCATGGATGGTGATTTCGAAATGATTCGAGCATTAGTCAGTATGTATATCTTGTATTAACTTTTTGAAATTTCAAAATACTTTGCATATTTGTTAATTTTGTTTTTAATTCTTATAATTTAGATGCTCTAAATGAAGGCAACCCTGGCCTTAACCTAGGCGAAGATGCCATTGAAACTTTGGAAACTGCCTTCCGACGAATGAGAGAATTACTTTTAGGTATATTTTCTAATTTCAATCTTAATATAAATCATTAAACTTTATTAACATTTCTATTTTATTATATTAATAGCTGGTAAAAAATATGTTAAAATTGTTCAGTTCGAATTAATCCGTCTTTATGAAATTCAACAACAACTTCGTACTCTCTCTTACTTTGATGTATTTGGCCGTCTGCGATTGACCATTCAACTTGCTCGAATAACGTTAACAATACCGTTATTAATTGATAATTCGATGAAAGCTGAATTCGAGCAATTAGGTGGTAAACATGGTACGAGTAAGGGATTATTAGGTGATGGTATGGCTAAAGTCATTACTGGTTTAGTGACTGTTTTGGATCGAGGTGAAAAATTTGTATAAAACGTGTAGATGTCGTGCGTCAAAATAGATTTTTGTGTCAGATTAAAAAAAAATTTACATGTAATTTCAAATTTCATTAACCTTTTATATAAAAAAAAAATTCAATTTTATTCTGACGCAATTTCTAAATTTATGTACGACATGTTTATACTTTGTTGACGACAAATACGAAAAAGATGAAGTAAAATGGAAAATTTATGCAAAACCCCTCCCCCAAAAAAAATCTTTAATATATATATATATATATTACATACATTACAATTTATTATAAACATCAAAAATAGGCTTTGGTATTATAATATATTATTTTAAAAAAACTATTTTTTTTTTTTTTTTTTAACATTTAGTCATTATTTTATACCGCAAATGTTAAATTTATCATCTCAATAGTATAGTCAAATCTTTTATTAAGAATTTATACTTATTCTTTTTGATCGATACATTATTATTTTTCAACCTATTTTTTTTTTTTTATATATATATGATATATTCAGGATTTACTATTATTCTAATCACATAGTGTAACATATTTTTACGATTTAAAATGAAAAAAATATATAAACTATTATTGTTAAATTAGGGTGTTACGAAAATTACATTTTTTAACTAGTTTTAAAATTAATTTTTAGAAAATGCCTAACATTAATATAACAAGCTAATTTTGCCAATAAGAATTTTTTTTAGTCGAGTAACATATATTCTGAAATTTAATTATAAACCTTTGCAAAATTTAACTTACAGTACGTATCATATTTTAAAAAAAAAAGGATCTAATAAATATCTTATATAAATATTTTTTTTTACGTATACTATCTCCAAGGAATTTTAAAAATAAAATTATTATAAAATTCTTAATCTATTTTTAGAATTCAAATTTTTAATAAAATAAGTTTAATTCATAATAATAATTATGTCAACAACTTTTATTTAATAAAGTTATTGAAATTAGTGTCCAGACTTATGCGATTTCAGGGATTTTTCATTGTTTGAACAATGAAAAATCCCTGAAATCGTATAAATTTGGACACTCTATGCTAAGATAGTTCAGACAATTAATTCACCCGACAAACTCAAGCTTGTTTAATAAACAACCAATTTTTCGTTGTCTGTGAATTGTGTGTAAAACAGGCCTGTCGGCGAATTGTCTGCTATGATGTCTGGAATAGCAGATAGCCTAACGCTAAATAAAACCTTGTTTTCCGAAATAATCACGTGTGCTAAAAAATCAACATCTTGTACACTTAATAAGGTTTTGTGAAGTGTCCAGATAAGTTTAAAAACAGATCAATTCTCAAGTGTTACTAAGTGTTTAATTTAGATCATAATAGGCCTCTTTAATATAATTTTTTACCGTTATTCGGGATTGGTTCTAAGTCCGTCCTACGGTCATACATATCTTTGAAACCTATTATTTAATAGATCTATATAATACGTAAATTAACAAGCATACAAGCCTTTAAAAACTTATTTAATTAATAATTCTTCTTATAATATATTTCGCTTATCTGAACCTTCAATATGACAAGTGTAACTTATTTTGACACTCTTAAAAGAGACTTTTGTGATGTGCATATAACCGAGGATGGCATAGATACTGTCACTTTTTTGGAAGCTACCGAGGGACTGATTAAATTGTTTGGTAAGCAATTTTAAAGACTATTCATATGAGAACAAGTTTATTAATTATACTTACGACTTGTTTGTTTAGACTTACTTGGGAGTTCGGCTTTCAGTGTCGTTCAAAAGGACATGATCGGCAATGTTAATGTAAGTTCAATAGTGAACTACTACTAAATTTCATCCGACTTCTCACAACGTATTTTCTTTTTAAATAGAAAATTAGAGCACGATATGAAACTGATTATATAAAAAATAATACTCTTGAAAACTTGGTTATTAACGAACAAAAAGAAAAGAAACGTATAGCTACTGAAGGTTTATTGTGGTTAAAAAGGCAAGAAAATCTGATTTGTTTTTATCTTAAAATTCGATTATTATATTTATATATTACATTTTTTCTAACATATATAGAGGACTAGAATTTACCTCTGTTGCTTTACGTCGTTCGATTAACGAGACTACCGAAGAACTCTCAGTTTCTTTTACAAATGCATATGGTATTACTTTGAAACCATTCCATAGCTTTGTAATTCGTCCTGTGTTCGCGGTATGTTTATAGATAAATTTAATTAAAAATAAACTTCTTTTGATTAATCGGGTTTTATTTACTTTTTTTTTTTTAACATTAAATAAAGCTTGCTATGAAAGCCTGTCCATATCGTGTTGAATTTTTCAAAAAGCTTGGTGATGATCAAGCAAGAGTTAATGAATTATATGAACGTTGGTTAGCTGCTCTCGAACGAATTGTTGCTCAACTAATTTGTTTTTATGAGCAAGGTGGTTACGATAAAGGATTTTAATATATGGTTGATCCATATATATAGATAGTGAGATTAGAAATTATTGACATTTCAGACAATTTTTTATTAGAATTATTTAGTGTATATCAATTTCTGATGAAATTAGGTATATTGAAAATAAAAGTTACTATGAATACTATTTATAGGAATGTAATATATTTACTTTTTCAAATCGAATTTATCATTATTACGTTTTTTTTAAATATAGTGTAGACAACCTAGTCCCAACTAATAAAAAAATTGGCCGTATCTTATATTGTGGCCGCTAAAATAGCTAAATTTAAACTTAAAATCTATAAGATAGCTAAATTTAATATTTTAAGTGGCCAAATTTGAGATTTTTTCATATGTAAAAAGTGACCAAATTTGAAAATTTAATATAAAATTGAATCTTTATAACTTTGTTAATTTTGTTTAGCTTGATTAGATCTATTATTTAAAAAAATTTTTAGATATTTTATTCTTTTTTTTTGAATGAGGAGTAGTAATTTAAAATTTTGTATATTTATTTATTGGGACTAGGTTGTTCGCACCGTAGTATATAAAAACAAAAAGAAATTATGTTTGATTTAAAAATTCCCAAAAAAAAAAACATGGTGTAATATATTTTGTGACATAATATGATAATGAAATTACATAATTCAATTCAGCAAAGCATATATTAAGTGAATAATGTGTTAATGTTTCTAAATCATGAATCATGAAATTTATTTTAAAACATGTTTTGTCATTAAAAAAAAGAATTAATTTTTTGTTGGCTCAGCTTCCCCCGGCTTTTTTGCGTTACATGCTACAATCTTAATTTTGTCAACATGAATTTGGTCATTTTCTAATTTGAAATTTGGATTCTTGATAATGAACGTCCATACTTCATCACAGAATCGATATGTGTGAAGATGCCCTGCCTAATTAAAAGTTAATAAAATATAATAATGAATTTTAATTTAATATAATAAAATTACCTTAAAAGTTGCTTTTGTTCTAACTTTCGTTTCCAAAGCTTCAGTAATGCTCTTATCAAACTTATATATATGTCAATTTTGAAAGCATTTTCTTGTTAACATGGTTTTATAGAAATTCTTAGTCTAAATCTAATAATAATAATTAATCACAAAATAGTATACATACTTGTAAAAGAACTTTCATCGCCAGTTGTGGATCAATATGACTTGATTGAATCAACTCATCAAGCGAATCAGTTAATGCCATTCCAATGCTTTTGAAATTTACAAAAGTGAATAATTAATTTTAAATGCTGGAAAAAAAAAAAAAAGAAATCCTTAAATACCAACCTGCTTCTACGATAAAGTTCATAGTAATGAGTCATGGCTTTATGTCAAAGTTATGGTAGTAACAAATATATGAACATTTTTATACGAATATTGGGTTTTTATATAAAATGCATGGCCGAATTTTAAACTGATTTGATTGGTCAAATTTTAAACCAATAGTCGATAAGACTAAAAATGTATTGAACGTATCCGCCCAATTTTGTTTTTTGGGCCCTTTTTTTTTAAAACCTTAATTATATTAATTCATTAGTTTTTTTACAAAATAATTAATTTTAAATTCATTTATTTGACAGGTTTGTATAAATTAATTTACCGGTACTAATACTTTCATAAGTGATTCATCCAAGTACTATAATATAAAGATATGACTATTTATCTAATAGGAATATGTTGCAGGAAGCTTCGGAATTAAATAAAACTCGCTCTTGTTACTATTACACAAAAATCATGTTATTTGATTGGTCAACAGTGCTTTTTTGACGAATAAAATTTTTGTATTTTCATATTCATTTTTCCGGGTCACTATTGTTGCTGTGCCGATAAGATGATAAGGCACGTGTTTTTCTGTGTCGGGTTAAATTTTTGTCCGACGATTTGACGTCTAAAAGCGGGGGCAACTCATATTTCTTTAATAATTTTCTCGATTATCTTTAGGGTTAGGGTCATCTTATATTAGGGTGAGATTAGGTTTTAGGCCTTCCCGACATTTTTACTTAACTTATCTAAGGTAGATTTAGACTGCCGTTCTCTGTATTTTTTAGGTTTTTTGTTTTTGTTTCTTGATTTGCTTCGCTGGCGATCATCAAAATTCTATAATTTAATTGGCCGTGGTCACGTGAATCTGCCCGCTTTAGACGACCTAAAATGTGTGACAGGTTATGGTCTTAATTCGGGCTGATTGATCGACATTAGCTTGCATTACAGCTGTTTTCATAAATTCTGGGACATCTGGCAAAAAATGGTCCGAACAAATATTGTCGGTTCGATAAGTTTGT